TCTTTCTTTCTTTCTTTCTTTCTTTCTTTCTTTCTTTCTTTCTTTCTCTGGAGGTGGATAGTATCTTCCTTCACAGGTCCCTTTTAGTTCAATTGCATACTTATAATACTTAAACTAGCTTAGATGTTCACAGATATTCTTTGACTGTTATTGTATGCAACATTCTCTTGATTCCATTCATTTCATTCTCCATTATTTCATGCAGGTCATGAGTATTATTCTTGTATTTTCTTGTATATTCTTTTCTTTTATTGGTGAGGCAATTGGGGTTAAGTGATTTGCCCAGGGTCACACAGCTAGTTAAGTGTCAAGTGACTGAGGTCAGATTTGAACTCATGTCCTCCTGACTCCAAGGCCGGAGCTCTATCCACTGTGCCATCTAGCTGCCCCTATGAGTATTATTCCTTATAGGTTTGTTTTCTGGTAGTGGTCATGAGTTGATGCCGACTTATCTTGGCTTTCTCACCTGATTAAAGGCCTATAGTAGATGCCTCCCCTTTCTCTCCTCTCACTCTCTTATTAACCCTTACAATCCTGCTTCCGACCTCATAATTCCTTCAAAATTGATCTCTTCAAAGTTACTAGCACTCTTTTATTTGCCAAATCCAATGGCCTTTTTCGAATCTCATTCTTCTTGACCTCTCTGCAGCCTTCTACATTGTTGATCACCCTCTCTTCCTTGATGCTCTATTCTCTCTAGATTTTTAGGATCCCATTCTCTCTTGGTTCTCCTCCTACCTGACTATTCTTTCTTAGTCTTCTTTGTTGGATCTTCATCCATGCCTTCTCACCGTAGATGTTTCTCTCTTGACTCTTCTCTTCTCCCTAACTCATCAGCTCCCATGGATTTAATTACTGTCTCTATGCTGATGATTCAAAGATCTGTCTATCTTGCCCTAACCTCTCTGCTGACCTCCACTCTTGCATCTCTAAGAGTCTTTCAGACATCTCACATTGGATTCCAGCAGATATCTTAAACTCAACACATCCAAAACCAAATTCATTATCTTTCCCTTCCACTCCTCCATAACCATCTTACCTTCTCTATTATCACAGAGGGCAACACCATCCTCTCAGTCCCCCAGGCTCATTTCACTCCTCACTAACTCTCACTCCCATATCCAATCTGTTGCCAAAACCTTTGTGATGTCTCTCAAATTCACCCCCTTCTCTCTTCTGACACTACCCTGACTCTAGTTCAGGCCCTCATCACTTCACACCTGGATTATTGCAAGAGCCTGCTGGTGGGTCTGCCTGCCTCAAGTCTCTCCTCACACCAATCCATCTTCTATCCACCAAAGTGATTTTCCTAAAGTGAAGGTCGAGTCACCTGCTCAATGTCACTCTTCTACTCAATAAACTGATGTCACTTCCCTATTCTATAAATTCCTGTGGCTTGCTATTACCTCTAGGATCAAATGTAAAATCCTTTGTTTGGCATTCAAAGACCAGTCTTGTCCTGCCTTTCCGGTCTTCTTAAACTTTACTCCTCACTACATACTCTTTGATCTAATGACACTGGCCTCCTGGTTGTTCCACAAATAAGACACTACGTCTTTTGGCTCTGGTCATTCACTCTTGTTGTCCTCCAGATCTGGAATGCTCTCCCTCCTCATCTTTCTCTACTGGTTTCCTTGACTTCCTTTAAGTCCCAGCTCAAATCTCACCTTCTACAGGAAACCTTTCCCAACTTCTCTTAACTCTTGCGTCTTCCTTTTTTTAATTATTTTTTTAATTTATGCTCTATACATCTTGTTTGTACATATTTATTTATTTATTGTCTCTCCCATTAGATTGTGAGCCTCTTGAGGATAGGGACTGTCTTTTGCCTCTTTCTTTTTTATTTCAGTGTTGAGCACAGTGCGTGGTGCACAGTAAGTATTTAATAAATGTTTAAGCACTGACTGAATGCATACCCTTGTGATATGGCCACTTTGGTCAGGTGTGCAGTCAGAATACACCTAATTAGCCCATGTTGTGAAAAATCCTTGCCCCATTATCTTAGCCAGGTTAGTATAAGGTT